GAACAACACATCTCTCTCTCTCTCTCTCTCTCTCTCTCTCTCTCTCTCTCTCTTTCAAATCAGTAAATAAAAAGGTAGAATCAGACTTCCACAGAACCCTGGGTGAAAACCCTATCCTGTCCCTTCCGTCGTCGTCACCTCTTGTGAAATCACTTCCTTCCCCTCCCCCTCTTTCCCAGCTTCTCCCTGCCTCGGTCCTCCTGCCTCTGGCGTCCACCTTCCTGCCCTTTCCCTGCACTGCGTGGGGAGGGACCCTCCCTGAGCCTTCGTCACGGGGCGGCGGGGATTAGAACCCAGGTTCCAGATCACCTGGAGCCGTCCGCTGGAAGGGCTGGCTCGGAGAAGAGGGGAGAAGGCGCGGGGTGGGGTCTGTCCCCCAGAGCCTGCCTGGGCCGGTTCCCTGCTCCCCTTCCTCCAGGTAGCCCTGAAACTCAATTACATGCCATTAGAGTGAGGAAGCGTTTGTTAGGGGATTAGAGGGCGCCCCACCCCGTGCCTTCCTGGTCCCCTTCCTTCAACCAGGAAATGGAATGGGCTGGAACAAAGAGAGTTAAAAGCTGTGTCAGCTGCCAGTCTGGGGCAGACGGACAGGACAGACGGAAGGAGGGGGACTGGCGGGGCGGCATGACAGGTGGCTGAGAAGCCAGGTGGACGGGGGAGCACTGGCTGGCCGGTGGATCGGCTGACAGACAGATAACAGAGACACAGGCAGCTGAGCCGGCCACAGCCACATGGAGGGCCCGGCAGGCAGAGGGACCAGGTGAGGAGGGGCTGGCAGCCACAGGTGAGGGGGACAGGGGGAGGCGGGGAGAGAGGAAGGGGCATCCCCCGTGCATGGAGCTGACGTGGGGAGGATGAGCGGGGGAAGAGGGGGGGACATGGACAGGGCCATTTCTGAGAATGTCCCCCTTCTCCCCAGAACCTGGAGGTGGCTGGCCATGGGGCCCAGCTTCCTTGTGCTCCTGTGTGTTATTGGTGAGTCCCTCCCACCCCCACGAGGGGACCCCGTCTCTACTTCTCAGCTCTGGCCTCCATTCACCTCCAGCTTCCAGGGTCCTCTCACCTCTCCTGCACCTTTTCATCCATCTCCCCTCTGTCTCTTCCTGCCCCAGTCTCAGTTCTCTATCTATCTATCTATCTATCTATCTATCTATCTATCTATCTATCTACCTATCTATCTATCATCTATTAATCTATCTATCTATCTATCTATCTATCTATCTATCTGTCATCTATCTATCATCTATCTACCTATTATCTATCATCTATCTACCTACCTATCTAATCTATCATCTATCTACCTACCTATCTAATCTTTCTATTATCTAATCTTTCTATTATCTATCTATCTATCTATCTATCTATCTATCTATCTATCTACCTATCATCACCTATCTATCTAGCTATCTATCATCTATCTATTTACATATATATGTATGTCAATATAGAAATATTAAATCATTCCATCTCTGTCCAACATCTGTCTACCTTCCTACCTATCTATCTATCTATCTATCAATCAATCACCTACTATCATCTATCTAACTAACCTATCATCTATCTATCTACCTATCTATCTATCTATCTATCTATCTATCTATCTATCTATCTAACTAACCTATCATCTATCTATCAGCATCTCTCTCTGTTTACCTCTTCCTCTCTATCTCTTGGGCGTAGCACTATCTCTTGCTATATACATCCTTAGGTGTCTCCCTGTGCCTGACTCTGTCTTCCTCTCGCCTCGGTCTCTTTCTGTGTCTCAGCATCTTCCTGTCTCTCTCTTCCTGTCTCTGACCCACACCTGTGCAGGTCTCTGACCCCCTCTCTCTCTGGCCCGTTCCTCTGTCCTCAGGGCTCAGCCACGGGGCCTCAGAGAAGATTTATAACGGCACGGAGTGTGACCCTCACTCGCAGCCGTGGCAGGTGGGGCTGTTTGAAGGTGTCAACCTGCGCTGTGGGGGGGTCCTCATTGACCGGAGGTGGGTCCTCACAGCTGCTCACTGCAGCGGCAGGTAAGTACTCCCCCCTACCTCCCCTCCCGCCCCCCGCCCCCGTTCTGGCTCCCTTCCTGGAGTGGCCGAGGAGGGTGATGGGGAGGGAGTGTCAAGGAGAAAGGAGATGGTCCTGCCACAAGAGACTTTGAGGTTAGACGACTAGGACTTTTTATTTTTTTTAATATGTTTTTATTGATCTCAGAGAGGAAGGGAAAGGGATAGAAATATCAATGATGAGAGGGAATCATTGATTGGCTGCCTCCTGCACGCCCCCTACTGGGGATCGAGCCTGCAACCCGACTAGAATCCAACCCAGGGCCCTTCAGTCGGCAGGCTGATGCTCTATCCACTGAGCCACACCAGCCAGGGCCGGGAGTAGGACTTTTTAAACAATGGGCCTAGGTAGGGCTGGCTGGGGTGCAGTGGAGTCTGGGGAGCAAGGAAGGGCCTGGAACCTGCCCACCCACCTCCTCTCGTTCCTTCGAGTCCCCCTCCCTCCCTAGATGGTGTCTGTCACCAGCCCCAGCCATTCCCTGACCCAGGCTGGGCCCTGGGCCCACGTCTGACCCACGCTCTCTGTGCAGCCTCAGTGATCCCATCTGTAAAATGGCAGGATTGGGCTTCCTGGGCCTGACCCTCTGTGTTTTATGCGAAAGGGAAGTTTCAGTCACAAGGAGATGGAGAGATGTGGGGACAGCGAGAGGCATGAGCAGGACAGAGAGCAGTCACATGGGGGGCAGCGTGGGCAGTCCAGGCAGTCTCCTAGGAGGTGGAGTGAGAAGACTGACAGCTGTCCCTTCCCCTGTGCACCTCACCAGCTAAGAGAATCAGTTGGGGACACAGATGCAGGGACAGGGATGGGGGTCGGGGGGGAGCGGGGTGATGGAGATAGAGACCAAGAGGCTGAGAGACAGCACCTTAGAGAACAAGGGCGAATGAATGAGGGACCAAGATGATGACATGAGGGCCTGGGAGTCTGGGGCAGCCCACCTGCTGAGCCAGCATAACCCCTAGCAGGTACTGGGTGCGCCTGGGGGAACACAGCCTCAGCCGCCTGGACTGGACGGAACAGATCCGGCGCAGCGGCTTCTCGGTGACCCACCCCGGCTACGAGGGAGCCCGGAGGAGCCACGAGCATGACCTGCGGCTTCTGAAGCTGGGCACCCCCGCCCGCCTGACCCGCAGTGTCCAGCCCCTGGCCCTGCCCACCACCTGTGCAGTGGCTGGCACCGAGTGCCACATCTCCGGCTGGGGCACCACCAACCGACCATGGAGTAAGTGGGCCCTGGGGTCCGGGGTCAAAATGGGCAAAAGTCTGGGTATAGGGTGAGCGGTCACAAGTCACACCATCTCAGGGGAAGGAGGGTGAAAGGGTCAAACATCAGGGTGATAGTCTGGGGTTGGAGATCGTGGTGGATCAGGCCTTGAGTGTCAAAGTGGTTAAGGGGCTGGATATGGAGTCAGAAGTCCTGGGTCAGGGAGGATGTGGTTAGAGGTCAGAGTGCTGATGGGGATCATTGGACTGGAGCAAAAGGCATATACATAAACTAGAGGCCCAGGGCACGAATTCATGCACCAGTGGGGTCCCTCGGCCTGGCCTGTGGGACCACAGGTCAGAGTGCTGTCGGGATCATTGGACTGGAGCAAAAGGCATATATATAAACTAGAGGCCCAGGGCACGAATTCGTGCACCAGTGGGGTCCCTCGGCCTGGCCTGCGGGATCAGGCCGAAACTGGCACTCCGGCATCCCCCGAGCGGTCCTGCATTGTGAGAGGGTGCAGGCCAGGCCGAGGAACCCCCCTGGTGCACAATCAGGGCTGGGGAGGGACACAGGAGGTTGGCCAGCCAGGGAGGGACCACAGGAGGGCTCCAGGGCGTGTCCGGCCCATCGTGCTCAGTCCTGATCAGCCAGACCCCAGCAGCAAGCTAACCTACTGGCCAGAGCATCTGCCCCCGGTGGTCAGTGCACATCATAGTGAGTGGTTGAGCGGCCTTAGCATATCATTAGCATATTACGCTTCGATTGGTTGAATGGCCGACCAGACAACCAGACACTTAGCATATTAGGCTTTTATTATATAGGATAGGATCAGGGGTTGGTCAACGTCATTGAAGAGTTGAGGCCATGAGACCCACTTGTTGCAGCAGCTGGCCACAGTCTCAGGATGGAGATTAGGGGTCATGGATCTGGGATTGGAAGCCATAGAGTTTCGAGTGTGGAGGCAGTGGCTAGGGGTCGTGGAGTCAGGGTTCAAATAACCTAGGATCAGAGGTCACCTTGGAATAGAGACCAGTGATTTAGAGGAAGCAGAACTGAAGTTGGAGCGTAAGGTGGAGACAAGGAATTCGGGGTCAGGAGACAGAAGACGTGAGGTCCAGTTGGGATCAAAGGATGATAAGACTGAAGGTCGAAGGTCACACAGTCGCTGAAACGAAAGGAGTAGGTCAGGTCCGGATTCATCTATCTATCTATCTATCTATCTATCTATCGATCTATCTATCTATCTATCGATCTATCTATCTATCTATCGATCTATCTATCTATCTATCGATCTATCTATCTATCTACCTACCTACCTACCTATCTGTCTATCATCTATCATCTATCTGTCTGTCTATCATCCATCTATCTATCTAATCTATCTATCTGAGGTTGGAGGGACCAGGAGGGTATAGAGTTATGACACTCAAAGTTAGAGGTTAAAGGTCTGGAAACTGGGCCAACGGGCTGGGGTCAAGGGTCATGATGGCATCAAGTCATACGTCTAAAGTTTGGAGGTTTGAGGATTATAGTGGAGGTCACAGGGAGGGGACAGGGCGTAGTTTTGGACCAAGCTTCCTTGAGAGGAGGGGAGTGGGGGGGGG